GATATGACAAGGCTTTATAAGCAGCTGTTATCTTTTACAAAGTGTCAGACTGAAGTTACAGATTTCTTTTTGAAAGTAGATTTGGAGATAAACACATGGAATTTAAAATTAAATTACAATCAAATTACATGTTGCAATGCTAAATAATGTATAGCAGATAGAGTAATTATTAAAAAAAACTTGCCCACTTTAGCGTTCTCGATGAAATATGAAATTGAATGTCTTGAATCGTCTTCACCTTTGACCTGTAAATAACGTACACATTTTTATGGAATATGGAAACGTGTGTAAATTCAAGTTATGAGGATTAAATTGTTGTGGGGTTTATTATTTTGACAAAGTACAGCTAAGATGTTTTTTTTATTTGAGTGTCGATGAATTCTTTCTATAATTAGAAATCAGGGAACCATCCTCTCTGCTATCTGACAGGTAGATTATGTGCCGGGTTTCCTAAATTTTGTTAAGATATAAATCGGCAGTCATACCGAAGGAGAGATTATCATTTATGTAAGAGAAAGACCAAACCTGCAAGTCTGTCTCTCATCACTACTAATTCCACATCTTCCCTCTTGCAATTAACACAAAATAAACTTTACCGGTTTCATTTTAAATTCACTTGTGACGACTTATTGAGTTCAATTTTCAGAAATTCTGACAATAAATTGCTTGAATACATGTACAAATACACCTTAAGTTTTCAAAATCAACAACGTATATAACTTATAATGATTGTCCGTAAAGTTCGTAGGCAATATTTATAATACAGTCTTAGTTTTTGTAAATAAAAATGTATAGGATTTGAGATTTGATTAAGACTTAATTAAGCAACACCACTTATTCAATTGTTGAAAATATAGATATTGTAGAATTAGGTTAAAGACTGGTTATTTTTTTTTTTAAAGTTTGTCACTTTTTATGGGTATCCGGGATTCTGAATCCTCTTAATAACTGTGTCTTTCAATTTCAAGTGGACTTGGATTTTGAAGAAGGCTCAAGTGTTCTGCGGTTAAAGGGATAATTTTGATTTTTATATCCCTTCCTGAATATTCACTCATATTAAGATGTAATCACTTGTCAATTACAGGGACAAGAATCTCGATTTATACCGTCTCATTATATGGACCGATATTTCCACGTCATACAGGGAAATTGAAACTGTGGCATAAGGTTCAGTCCTCATTCAGCAATGAGAACAACAATTAATATATAAGATATAAGGTTATTGCAAATGAGCTCATTGTGCATTTGTAATTAATTTCACTACTCCTTATTCGTTTAATCACCACTTTTCAAATGTAGATAAGAGGTTAAAGAATCAGCAGTAAGCTAAACAAAGGAGAGCCAGATTGACAATGTTGAATATGCTCACGGAAACACATTTTTAAAACTACAGCTGTACACTAGTATCATACATGTACTACATGTTCATGTATCAATACCTAATTATGCATAACACATAGAGTAATTAGAAGGAAAAAGCTTACCTGTTCAATTGTTCATCAACGAAATTTGAAAATAAAAGGGTATTTTCGGATCGCTGTGACTTTGACCTGTTTTAAAACAAAATACAATTATAACGGCATAAATTTTCATCAAAAATTCCAAAACCTTATTAAAATGAACTATTAACAAATGATCTACATTCAGACAATCTAATACCCTTCTATTTTTCAAATAGGCTGTTATTTAACATCCCCCCCCCGAGGGTGTATAAGGGATCCAGTACGAGGGAAGCTTGTGTGCCTCTGTTAACAATATAAAGAAATTTTCTCTCTCTATGTATCCATTATTTAATATTCACCTGTTTACTTTCTGCAGGAAAAGTACATGAACATGAACGATAATGATCTTCAAAATAATACAAAAAAAAACACACACACATACACAATCATAAAGTCTTCTTAAAATATTTTCTGACATGTACCCTGTATGCCGGCCAAGGGTCCCTACATTACCGTTTCCAATTACAACTGTGCACCTTAGAATTATCTTTTTTTACAAACAATTCACGTATCTGTTATATCTAAGTAAAAGTCGCATTTCTATTTTCTGTAATTTCTATATTCTGTTCCATGAGATTCACAAGCAATGAAAAAACTAGAGGTACTGTGAGCGATGAGCTCACTAAATGATACCCCCGCCTCCATATAGTTATAGTGGCAAAGTCCATGTTTTCCTGTGGCCGGGGAACCCAAAATATGTGTCGGATCAAAAAGTAAAATAGGAGGTGCACAATGGCAATATGTAATAAAGATTCTGTGAAAGTTTCATCAAATTTCATTCAGTGGTATGAGAGGAGTTGCGGATAAGAGATGGGTACCCCAAAGCGTAACAGACGGACCGACAGACAGACGGACAGAGGGAGGGACGGACGGACAGACGTACAGACGGACGGAATTAACGATTACTATATACCCTCCCCCTTTTCAAGCGGGGGGTATAATAATAATTATTTCTTATCGTACATGTATACTGTAAACGTGGATATTTTGACGATGTGCTTATTTTGACTATATTGACGATTTTTCTTTTCTCGTCAAAATTTACACTCGTCAAACTTCACATCATATACATAGCGTCACAACGGACATTGACTATTGTACAACTTTACCTCTACATTTTCATGGCTTTTCCAGATTATAACTAGATCAAGGTCATTATTAATTTCTTTTGTAATTAGTTATGAAAACATAGTAATATATAATCACATTTTTAAAAATCATTGAATCAAAACTAGTGTATCAAATACTGCACCGGTAACTTAGCGTCATTATCACGCCGTGCTTGATCTAGTTGATCACCTCAGTCAATCGACCGCTTATAATGAAAACAAATTACTAGAGGGCAATTTATTTAATCAAATCTTACACACGTTGATAGTTTGTGCAATACTTAAATTTTAGTGATTCCGACGCTGCCTTTGTATCCTCGTGAATTCAAAGATTTAAAACTCCTGTTTAAATATTATGTCAAAATTAACACTCGTCAATTTTCGTAAACAAAAAATCGTCAATTTTTCAACTCGTCAATATAACCATGTTTACAGTATGTATGCCTGATTGACAAATTCTTTTCCTGTAGTATGAAGGCGATAGACTCAGTTTTAGCCCATTATATAAACACTAAAATTACAGAGAAATTACTTTTGTTCTTTGTATTAAAACAGAAGAGTCCATAATCCCTCAAATGGCCAGCCTAAATTATACGGCTATGTAAATTGAGAAAAACAGGGTATATTCATACGATCTTTTATTCAATTCTTGACATAAAGAAAGACAGGATATGCTTAAAGATATGTTTAACTTCTTTTTTTTAATAATCAAAAAAGTTTATTGATGAATATTCTTTTTAAATAGAGGAAAATTAAAGATCATTCAAATCATTCTAGATCGAACTTTTGAGAAAAGATTCTATGAAAGGATTGATGCATTTCAAGTGTTTTAACATCTTCTTTCAGCTTTTTATACTCTGCTGAGTTATTGCCCTTTGTACAAGAGTAATTTTAAGAGAAATTATTTTTGTTTTTTGTACAGAAAACAACAGGGACCTGTATCTTGTAACATGTATCTGATTATGTCTAACCTAGAGAATATGGCTATGGTGATAGAGTAAAACAAGGTATGATTATTCTCAGTATATAGTTTGTTCAATGCCAGAAAGAGAAAAATATGTATCAAAATTTTGTTTTGTATACGATATTTAAAAGTTGATAACATTATAGATGGACATCAATTAATTTAGGGAAAAGAAAATAAAAGTTGTCTCTTATATGGGTTGTGTTTCAAGTCTGCTCCTTTTACCTTTCGTCCCATCAGTAAATTAATGACAGTTTTATTGCAGTTTGGATGTACATGTATTTTTCACCAAGTTTGGAAAAAAATCCATTAAGCAGCTTCATAAGCCACATTTTGAAATACTGCATATGTGTGTTGAGATAAAAAATGTTCATAGATGAATAGAATTAATTAAAGAATTGTAACATGAAACCTTGACCATCGACACTTTAAACTTACAGAGAAGCAGGTGTCACTGGAGGATGAGGAGGTGTCCCCTCTGTACAGAACTCATCAAGGGCACAGTCAAAACCTACTTCCTATTTTCTAAAGTAGCTCGTGATCTAAGTTACTGCAGATTTATTTGTTATTTTTTTTTTGAAAGGATTTAAAAAATGTTTTATTATCTTTGTCTAATTATGTTTATGTTCTATTTACAGCAAGTGTTTAACATGCTGCTATTGGAGACGTTTAACATTGTTGCTTAATTAGGAAGTATATTGTAAAATGTGAGATGTTAATGACAATAGCTGGACACCATTAGTCGGTGTGGACAATGGCTGAGGGGGTTTCCCAATTCTATTTTAGTATCACATGACGAAATATAGATTTGTCTCTAAATATAAGGAAAAATGGCAGTTTTTTGCTAATTTGAATCTTACTAGAAAATCTCTTAAATATAAAGCTTTCTACAATATGCCTTCGAAATGAACACTTATTTGTACAGGAATTGCTACAATCACAGGATGAAAATCCACCATTCAGTCGACTGAATGGTGGCTGAATGGCCACTGAATGGTCACTGAAAGGTCACTGAAAAGACCCTTTCCCGTGACCTTTCCGTGATCATTCAGTTACCATTCAATCGACTGAATGGCACATACATTTCAGTGACCTTTCCGTGATCATTCAGTTGAATCATTTTATTGAATAATCGGCTTATTTTTTAACTAAAAAATTTATTTCACTTTTTCCTGGTATAATAGCATTAAATTTATCTAATTCCGAATAAAAAAAAATAGGAAAAAAATTAATACAAGAAAAAAAAAATTGCTCCCATGCCCAGAATCGAATCCTGGTCTCCTGCTTAGGTGTCCACAACCCTTTTTTTTTCTCTTTTAGGTGTCCACAACCTTATCAATTACGCTACGACTTCTTGTTGAGTAATGGGGATTTAAAATCAACTAATTTATAGAAATCGATGGAACAATCAGTTCACCTGTTGTATCGAGGAGCTGCGATGTGTATATATCTTGTATATATTTTGTATATTCTATGTTAGTTGCGCAGATTTTGGGGACAGACTAATTAATTACGCATCTCCTATCGGGATGATGACAATTATTAGAGAAGGGCACCTGTTCCTTTGTCAAAGATTTAAGATCGTTGTAAATTCTCTATCTAGAAACTTAGTAGAATGATTTTATGTAAGCAATATCATTTAGAAAGCTAAAATCTCCCATATATTTTTTTTTCTACAAGAGGCATGTATAAACGATTTATTTATTCTTGTATTAAAAATGAATTTAAAATAATGTCTTTCAAAAATTAAATATCCTGCAGTTTTGACAATGACATAATTAAGAAACGAAATTTATCAGTAATACTTGCGATCTTCCACAAATGGTTTAAATAATATAAATTCTGCCTCATCAATCAAAACTATATATTTCCATGAAAAAAATACACGTATAAGCACTATTGAATGTTATGCATGTATTTAAGTTTTGAATCGGTTATCTGATTGTCATTTTTCATCACTTGAAGAATTTTTGTTTTCTAAATGTAAATAGAAAATTAAAAATCATTTTGAATAAGTCTCACATATTTTATTTTGGGGACAGGCTAATTAATTAAACATCTCCTATCTGAATCTCAATTATTCGAATAATCTATTTTTAGACCATTGTTGATATGAAATGAAACAAGAGTTCATCCTCAATTTTGTCGAAATTATTGTACAAGCACATGTACATTCTGAAAGCATATTGTAGAATGCTTTATATTTGTTAAGACTTTTTATAGGAAGCGTCCAATTAGAACAAAAATGCCATTTTCCTAATATTCAGAGATATATCTATATTTAGCCACCTGATACTAAAAATAGAAAGGGAAATTCGCATCAACCATTATCCATACCAGCTAGTGGTATCCAGATCATGTCATTAATATCTAAAATTTTACAAAATATTTCTTAATTATGCACCAACTACATCTCAAAGTGCCTGAAAAGGTGCAATAATCTACAATTTCTCAATTAATCGAGTAATCTATTTTTAGACCATTGTTGCTATAAAATGAAACAAGAGTCCATCCTCAATATTATAGCAATTTTTGTACAAACACATGTTCATTTTGAAAGCATATTGTAGAAAGCTTCATATTTGTTAGGACTTCTTATATGTAGCTTCCAATTAGAGCAAAAATGCAATTTTTCCTAATATTCAGAGACATCTCTATATTTAGCCACCTGATACTAAAAATAGAAACGGGAATTTCCCTCAACCGTTGTCCATTCAAGCTAATTGTATCCATTTCTTGTCATTAAAATCTCAATTTGTACAACATAAGATCTAATTATGCAGTAATGACATTTAAAACCTTGCCAAAATTTGATTTTTCACATTTTTCTAAAATACATCAATGTATAGACACATGTTACTTAAAATAGGAGCAAAAGCCCACTTACGTTTTGTCATGAAATGACACTACTTATTCCCAAGTATAATAACACACATAAGATTTGGGAAATTTCCGCGAATAATTTTTCTTATTTAGCCTCAAAGATCTCAAAAAATTTCAATTTCCCCATTTTTCAAATTTTTAAAAACCATGTTAGTTTGCATGACCGTTTTCTTACAGGAAGAATATTTCTAGAATAAACGATTATATGCCCTGTGTACCTTAAAATGTCATGTTAACATATATGATCCAATGATTTTTGTAAGAATGTATTAGATACTGATAAATATTCATTTACATTTCCTCAATTTTCATGTTTTCATATAGCCAAAATGAGCCAAAAATGGCCGAATTCAATGGATCCGTTTCCATGGCAACCAAGTTCACGTGTGGAACTTCCGACACCATATTTACTAGTTTTGTACCAAGACACACCTATGGTAAAAATTTCATCAAAATCCGAGACACGTCGTTTCCAAGCCCTATAGTAAATTCGTTGGTGCTTACAGAGAATGCGTGTTAAATGTAACATCTTTTTCAATCTTTAGAAGTTTGACAATTTATTGCATACACACCTACATACACACCTTTACAAAGTCAACCATATATACGTTAGTTGTCTGTACATTTCGTGAAAAGCTTCTAAAACACGGTCTCGGTTATTTTAAATAAAAATGATTAAATTAAAACTTCACCTGTATTGCTTATTAGAAATTACTTTAAGGCATTATATGTACAACGACCATATTTTGTACCTTATCAGTGAATAGTCCAATATTTTTAATCACCTTAGCATTTTCAAAATACTTACCAAAGGAATTTTCAAAATATATATATTTTTATTATTGTCCAATTCATTGCACTTTCATTTTCAAATTTAGATCTAAGGATAGCGCCTATTCTTTAAGATACTGTAAAAAGAAAAAGCAAAATCTGAATTCAAACAAATCCCTCGGTAAAAATAAGAATAAATTTCCTCTTTATTAAATTATGGGAAAAAATTAATTTTTAACTGTATATATGTATCGCATGAACCATTCAACACTAGGTTGAATACATTTTGCAAGGAGTATTTTGTTTAAAGAATGTACATGTATTCCTACGTATCCGTAAAATTATAATGCATTAATATGTTAAAGTTGAAAAGAATTACTCTTTCATAAAATTCGTATCCCTAGTTAAAAAAGAAACCCACTGAGAAATTCTTCTGTGTAATTCATTAGTTCAACATACCATTATGATTTGACTGTTAACTAGATGAGGACTGAATCAAATTTGAGATTTGCTTTAATTTTTAGAAACACAAACAAGAGCATTTAGGATGAATTCTCGGTCACACACTTCTAAATATCCGAATTTGCGTCATTTTGCGTATATTTGATCACATTTTAACTATTTCTCTGAAATAATAAATAAATACTATAAGAAAATCTGTTGATCTGCATGGTTTGTGACCAGTTCATCAAAATTATTTAATGCATCACAACTAATATAGACATTTCTAAGAATGAGAAGAAACTAAAAACTCTTTGCACGATAATATATCGCAGATTAATATACATGCAATATCCTTTCAGGCATTCCTAAAGCAAAATAAAAAGAATCAATCTTAGGTATTTTAATCGACGAACCTCTTGTTTTCCCTGAAATTTCCTTCTTAATATGTACATGTAATACTGAGTCACGTAGCTTATATACAATCATTGAGAGTCACGTGACAACCGCTAAAAATCCAGAATTATATATATAAATTGGGGGTTATGTGACTGTGAACCATAACGATAAATTGATTATTACGTCACAGAATGCAATCGACTTCAAAAATAGGTCACACATCTCAAACAAAACAACAAGTCATAATGAAACATGTAAAGTGAGAATACCACAATTCGAAAACAGCATTTCTCGAACCTTACACAAGGTATTTCTCATTTGATACTTTTAAATAATTTGAAGGAGTAATTACAAAAGATTTCTGACATGTTTAAATGTGTTCAATCTAAGTAGGTTGCGGAGTGATTTTTCTTTTTCAACTTATGTAATGTGGCTCTATAGAACAAAGTTGTTGAAGCACAAGGAATAGCAATTCTAGAAGCAGTTACTACAACATTATTAGTTACAAATGGGAGATCAAGACTGTGAGGAAATTATTTTCCGAAGATTTATTGCGGCGTTTATTATAAATGGACAAGGTAGAACTAAAAATTTCTTAAACTTGTATGTCGATCAATTCTTTCTATAAAAGGACGTCAGGGAACCCTCATCTTTAAAAATTGACATGAAATGAGTCAGGTTTCCTATATTTATTTTTTTTAATATAAAATGACAATAATATTCGGATAAAGCTCAATCCGTAGAGAAAGGACATACATGTACTTCTTAACAACAGCCTCGCTGATCGATGTCATTCTAAAAGCTAATTTTTTTTTTTTGGTTTTGGTATGCGTGCACTATTTTTAGCTACTTCTTGGAAGAGAAACGGACTGTAACCAGTTCTTATTTACGGTAATAGAGCTTATAAATCGATTGTGTCAAGTTTCATCTGTACAATATACATACTGATCTGTGTCCAATTCCGAATTTAACGACACAGATTTAAATCGACTTCAGAAAAGATCACCCAGTTCAAACGAAACAGCAAACTATTATATAACATATACATTGAGGATTAATTTAATTTAATATATAACAGTAGTTCTAGAGCCTAAAGAAAACACCACGTTTGGATTTTTCATGTGATACTTTTAAACACAATTTTAAGGAGTGATTACATAAGAAATTTTGACACGATTAAGTTTGTTCTATCTAATTGTGTCGCGGAATGATTTTTCCTTTCAGCTTGTGTTACTTGGCTCTTTATAACAAAGTTGTTAAAAGGACAAGGGATAACAATTAAAGAAGCAGGAACTTTAACTTTGAAGGTGATGAATTTCATCATATGTTAAGTTGCAAAAAGTTGAAAGAAACTTGTATATTCCCAAATATTGTACGACAACACCACCAATTTTTCATTCAAATGAAATGGTTTCTTCCTAAAATGTAGGCTTATTATAAAACTATTTATCGTTTATAACATTGTTAATAAGAGAGTCAAACCTGGTTATCAATAGTAGAAGTTTAATATTGTAATCACAATACGTATATATAGCACGTTTTGTGTTACTGGGTATATATTTGCTTCTTCTATGTCAATGGTGTAATTGTTAAAATTGTTTTATGTTACTTTGATCTCTACATTGTTAAATAACAACCAAAAGTATATTACATTGGTTTGTTATAATTTTGTGAGATTTGTGTAATAATGGATAACAATTAAACATGGCTTTAATGATTGCTCAAGTGTTTGAGAGTATTGGCAAGTGTATAGTGAACCATAGAGGATTTTCACTTTCTCACATTATTGTTTGTTTTGAAGGAAAAAAAAATAAAAGAATAATGAAGGAGAACGACAATGCAATGGGGGTAATTTGAAAAATGTATGACCATGTTTTCGATTTGATTTTATTATCCTATAAATGAAGAGATGAGAGTTCTTTTAACATTAACACAGATAGATTAAAATTAATATTAACTCCCTTAAATATGCTATATCAAATCTAAATCTTGTGCACATTATATAAAAAAGTCCACAAAGTTTATTTAACAAGGAATATTGATGGAGTGGAGTGTAGGGCATGAATATTTTTATATATACACACATGAAAGTCTCCGTACATATATGTACATTTAGATCCATGCATCTATTAATATTTTATTAAGCTAAAAAGGTTATTCAAACATCACCAATGTTCCCTTTTGCCTGGGTGTGGCAATACTAGATCAGCTTTAAATTTATAATACTTCAAACAAAAGGGCTAAAATGAGTTATCTTCTACTCACAAGCCGACAGAATACTATATTGGTTTGATATCAATCAGACGTCGCTATATTTTAGGGTAAATTACTTGTTAAATGCACTTTTGTATCAATTGTCGTGTTTTGAAAGCTAATGTCCAGTACAAAATCTTATATATGTATCTGCAAGACGTCTGAAGGTTTTAATCTGACAATATGTTTCTTATGAGAGCACATTTTTCGACTATTTCTACAGATTCACACATGCTAAAATCTACGTTATTGATAGCGTGTCATGACATGTTTCATAGGATATTACCTTGGTTTCAGAATTAAGAACAGGCGTTTCCTGACGATAAGGGGGATAGATCCTAATCGATTCTACAATTGGGTCGGTGTACATTTATATGCACATCAAAGATATGCTTTTTAGCTTCCTATTGTTATCAAAATATTGAAGCTACCTCTCTTCAGAAAGGCGTGTGTTAACAAGTGAATACAGAGGAAATACAATCATTGGTGTCAATGTTTAAAAGGTAAAGTATTGACAAAAAATAAAATTTACGAGAAAATTAAATAACTTACCTGAACTAGTGTTAAAAAGATGGACCTCCTTAATTTAAATCTCTAGCTCTTTCACAGTAAGCTTAATTTTTTAACACGTTATGATATCACGATGGCACGAGACCCACTGTGGTCTAGCCGCTGGGTAAATCTCCGTCTCCTGAAAAAATGAAACAAGGAAATGAAATGTCGAGAGCTTTTGCTCTTCCCCCAAAGTAGTTTTCTTTCAACGCAAATGAATCCCACGAAGGAAACTGCACAGTGTCTATGAACATGATTAAAGAGGTCTTATGCAATAAAAAATTGTTCCCTTGGATTTGCCCACTCATAAAAACATTTGTCAGTGATATTTAAGTAAACATTCTGTCGCCTAGAGTTGGGACGTTTTCTGCTAATGTGACATGCATTGCGCACTGATTAAGATAAGGAAACCTTTTATACCTTAATCATTACTTGTTTAATGTCTAAACTTACTGAACCTTCGTACAAAAAAAATGAATCCATTCATGAAACCAATTATCTGTAAACACTCTAACATAACCATTTGTTATTTGTTCATTCTTGTGAATTTCATGGGATGTCAGTGAGGTAGCCATTCCAGCGAACTCATCTTGTTTTGGATCTTCCATTATTGGGATCTTTGGCACGTACGTTGGGGGAAATAAGCATCTGTTGATTTTATTTCCCACCCTTGTTTAGAAGGGTGGGAAATTGTTGGTATATTTCAGTAGCATATCACACATCTATATGTGTGAAATAAATAAAAATGTATAATTATTCTATATATATTAAAAGTTTGCAAGAAAGTCCAAAAAATGAAAGAACAGTCATCTGATAGGTGGAGGGATATTTAAGTGAGTCAGTCTATTTGAGGAATTATATCATCTTTGTAATCTAATGTTGGTATCTTTGTGTTATGTTATCTTTGTTTCGAAATTTTGTTGTAAGATCTATACGTGAATAAGGTACATGTATCTCAATGTGAATAAAGTACATGTATCTCAATGTGAATAAGGTACATGTATCTCAATGTGAATAAGGTACATGTATATCAATGTGAATAAGGTACATGTATCTCAATGTGAATAAGGTACATGTATATCAATGTGAATAAGGTACATGTATCTCAATGTGAATAAGGTACATGTATATCAATGTGAATAAGGTACACGTATCTCAATGTGAATAAGGTACATGTATCTCAATGTGAATAAGGTACATGTATCTCAATGTGAATAAGGTACATGTATCTCAATGTGAATAAGGTACATGTATCTCAATGTGAATAAAGTACATGTATATCAATGTGAATAAGGTACATGTATCTCAATGTGAATAAAGTACATGTATCTCAATGTGAATAAAGTACATGTATCTCAATGTGAATAAGGTACATGTATCTCAATGTGAATAAGGTACATGTATATCAATGTGAATAAGGTACATGTATCTCAATGTGAATAAGGTACATGTATCTCAATGTGAATAAGGTACATGTATCTCAATGTGAATAAGGTACATGTATATCAATGTGAATAAGGTACATGTATCTCAATGTGAATAAGGTACATGTATCTCAATGTGAATAAGGTACATGTATCTCAATGTGAATAAGGTACATGTATCTCAATGTGAATAAGGTACATGTATATCAATGTGAATAAGGTACATGTATCTCAATGTGAATAAGGTACATGTATCTCAATGTGAATAAGGTACATGTATCTCAATGTGAATAAGGTACATGTATCTCAATGTGAATAAGGTACATGTATCTCAATGTGAATAAGGTACATGTATATCAATGTGAATAAGGTACATGTATCTCAATGTGAATAAGGTACATGTATATCAATGTGAATAAGGTACATGTATCTCAATGTGAATAAGGTACATGTATCTCAATGTGAATAAGGTACATGTATATCAATGTGAATAAGGTACATGTATCTCAATGTGAATAAAGTACATGTATCTCAATGTGAATAAGGTACATGTATCTCAATGTGAATAAGGTACATGTATCTCAATGTGAATAAGGTACATGTATATCAATGTGAATAAGGTACATGTATCTCAATGTGAATAAGGTACATGTATCTCAATGTGAATAAGGTACATGTATATCAATGTGAATAAGGTACATGTATCTCAATGTGAATAAGGTACATGTATCTCAATGTGAATAAGGTACATGTATCTCAATGTGAATAAGGTACATGTATCTCAATGTGAATAAGGTACATGTATATCAATGTGAATAAGGTACATGTATCTCAATGTGAATAAAGTACATGTATCTCAATGTGAATAAGGTACATGTATATCAATGTGAATAAGGTACATGTATCTCAATGTGAATAAGGTACATGTATCTCAATGTGAATAAGGTACATGTATATCAATGTGAATAAGGTACATGTATCTCAATGTGAATAAAGTACATGTATATCAATGTGAATAAGGTACATGTATCTCAATGTGAATAAGGTACATGTATCTCAATGTGAATTAAGTACATGTATCTCAATGTGAATAAAGTACATGTATATCAATGTGAATAAGGTACATGTATCTCAATGTGAATAAAGTACATGTATCTCAATGTGAATAAAGTACATGTATCTCAATGTGAATAAACTACATGTATCTCAATGTGAATAAAGTACATGTATATCGCATTCTTCTGATTTCAGATATCTTCATTATTTCAATCATTTTCACATTCTAATATTACTAGGAGAATGATTACAATCTTTTATAAGATAGAGTACAGTGGCGGATTTAATAGGGGTGCACCCGGCGCGCGCGCCCCCTAAAATTATCAAAATTAACGTAAATCACAGTTTCGTCTAGAAATGTAAATATATCTACTTGATAGACCTCATTTTTACCCTCAAAATATGTAGAACCCTGGACCCACTGGGGGCCTCAAGGCGGCCCCAGACCCCTTGCCTAATTTAGGCGCCCCCTCTAACTTCAATACCTGGATCCGCACTTAGAGTAAGTAAAAACTCTTTACAGGGAGAAAAATTTTATCATTCGTTGATTTCCTATGTTATATGGTATTTATGTACCTCTCATACGATAAAAACAACCTTCACCTAGCTTTAACGAGAAATTGAGATGATTAACAAAATAAGCAAAACGTCCGCTTGAAAAACTAAAGCAAACCGTTTATGCTTTTCTAGAGATGTTGTCCTTTAATTGAAGTCATGTCCTATCACTTCTTATTAGAAATATGTTAAAGGGAACAATAATTTAGACCCCATAAAGCGCAGAAATTATTCCTTATGCTGCATGTGCATGTACATGTGAGAATATCATATATACATATTATGTACGCATGAAAATCGTCTTAGTTTTCTTTCATTGCAGCAGAGAGATAAAATAATATAGTGCATAATTATAGGAAATGCTATGAAATCAAAACTGATCTCTGGGATGTACAAATGTAATCCATTTAGCATGTATGCTGTATTGCTAAGACAATCGATTATAATTTAGGCAGAATGCTTTAGGTGCTGAAACAAGATATTTTAATGAATTTCGCTAAACAAAGGCTAGAAATAATGCTGCGTAATGCATAATAGTACATGTAACTGCTTTTATGGTTTTTTTGATGATATATATTATCTTTTAGTTTTATTAATGCTGTGTAATATAAAAACACGTAAAACGTTAAACTAAATTGATTATTCGATGTTAAAATTATTCTTATGTATATTTGATTCAAAATTATTTGGAGGTCACGGTTCATTTGTTACCGTTTCATTTTTACATATTTGGTCACATATTTCAGAAATATGCCTGAAAGTTTAGTCTTAAATCGAACTGTGACATACAGTCGTGATTTTTTATTATTCCAAATCATTGAAAATTCTCAAGTATATTAGTTGATCTGGTTAAAATTACCTTGAAACATTATGGGAGGCTGGGGTATAATTTATTGAGCTCATTGCTCACAGCACCTCTAGTTTGGTCAAATTTAGCGGACAGTTCCATTACATTTTTTTGGTAGTCTGTTTTTTTAAAGATTGTCTCATCATGATTGATAAAGTAGGATAATCTTAGAATCTATTGATACCATAACAAGTAGTTCATGCTTATCTTTGAAATTAAATGAAGGGAAATGAATGGGGCTTTGAATAGGAGTCTATCAAGATTACGCGCTACACTTGTTTTAAAAATGGACCTTAAAACCAGTAAAAGTGTTTTAAGTGCCATTTTCCTATCAACAACGAATGAGAGCAATTCATTTTGTTTGATCAGTCGATCGAATTACCCTCGACTGTTAAACATAAGGATTAACAAATAATATGCTTCATATTTCTATATTATCTGTTGAGAGCTGTCATTAAAGTTGACATTGTGATTATTTCACACAATCAAAGACATTTCCGGACAAGCGTTATTGAAATATTAGACACTAGTGGAGATCAAACATAAAAGAAGACCTTTTGCCTCATTAATATAATCAAATTTAATGTAAACAAATCAATGTGGCATACCACATTGAGCCCATTTTAACTGTGCTGCTGTTCTATATTTACACTTGAATAATAAATGTGTTTAAGACAGTTTCAACAAATTTGATTCAATTGTAAACAGAATGTAGATATTAGATATTTACTTCGACCACAATGTGAAATACAAGTAAATTATGCAACTTAGATAAAAACAACATCATATTTTAATAAATACCTTGAATTATCTTGTTTGAAATAACATCGGGTATTGTGTTTAAGGTTATCTATGAGTGGGAAGACAATCTCTTGAAAAAAAAAAGACATGTCCTTATTTGATTGTTGGTGGTAAGGGAAGCAGATATAAAAGCTTTCTGAAATTGGAATCGAAATAATCGATTAGATGTTTCCATATAATACTAATCAACCATTAAAACAAAATTATCATAACACATGTATTGTGTGGATATTGTGATTTATTATATTTCATGTATTTGATGACATGAAAAAAAATATCTTTTTATAAATTTTTAACCCATTTATAATCCCGTACGAGATTAAAAACGGATTTGAGAAACTTGTATGTAAACTTTGTTCATATCATAAACTTTCTTTTGCAAACATTTTAACAGTTAATATGAAGTATTTGTTGCCTCTCCCCTTAAAATGTGCTTTAGGAATAAATTAAAAAATAAATATATAAATTCTTTAGGATTGAGAAACAAATTAATCAGATGTTATGATTTTATCTTTTTTTAATAATAAAAAAAAATTAATAATAAATAAGTTATGGCTGTTAGAATTAATGGATTTCATCCGGGTGATAACAGCATTTCAAACCCAAATGTATCTCTTTATACACTTCTATTTATTCTGCCTCATTAATTTCAAAACGCTAGTTTTTATTCGAAAGAAACCAATACCTGTCACGCCATTTGATTTAATCATTGAGGGTTACAGACCCGTGGCCAGAAGTTTTGAAAGGAGTCAATCATTTAGCTAAAATGAATTATATTGGTACACTGTATCCTATATGTAACTGATGAGTTTGCAGTTTTTGCATCTCATATATCTTATATAAAAAAGAACCGTCTAATGACAATGTACTAAAAATTAAGAATACAGTCATTGTAATAAAATCTCTTAACTACTCATTTACTACAAAAAGGTAAGGTTCGATGAAGAGCGTAAACTTATATATATCAGCAAATGTATTTTTAACGTGTAAAACAAAGATTGTAAGGAAGTAAGGAATTATCAAAAGAATTTTAAAACATATTTACATTTTCTGTCCTCGTTTTAGGGAGTTTAAGAGTATTAAAATGCTGTTCATCCCAAGAACACAGTTATTCATACCACCATTTGCCCCTGGTTGAGTAAAAAGAAATATATGATACCTCTTAACAGAGTTTCTTTACATTTTTACTTTTCTTGAGTTCATTCCTATAAAAAATGTGTTACTGTTTGAGACTTGGTGCAGAAGTGTGCGTATAAAAAGTGTCACTTTCTGCTTCAGTCGAAGAGTATTGCGTTGGTTTTATAAATAGAATAATCAAGACATGATCGTAGAGATCCGATGAGGAGAGGGAATAATTTCCCCGAAATGTAATTAGATACCTAAATGAAATAAATTACTATATGCATGTGCCCCCTTTATTCATCATCACTGAGGATTTAATTTTTCACCTTCATTGTACCACTTACCAAAATGGATATACATATGTATTTATTTTTGTCCCTCTAAACCGATTTTCTTCCCACAGGCATTTAAATTGCATTTAAGCACTATATGAGATTTGTTCAAGAATTAGTACTGTATATCACAAAAAACCTACATGTATTTAATCTGAGATCTAGTTAATATATGGGTGATGAAAATGCTAACTATACTTTATTTTCTTCAATTTGTTGATTACTCTTACCTTATTTACAGCTGCGTTGTTATGTTCAGAAGATTAACCCTTGGAATATGATTTGAAAAAAGTTGAATCTACTCAACTTTTTTAGGATACTAACATATCACCTAACATGACTACTCACAGTTTTGTTGTTCATAAAAAAGATTTTTTAAACACGGTAAAATTGAAGGTTTCTAACTTAATTTTTTTTTTGCTCAGTGATTCTTGAGAAGATATTTTCAAAGATGATATCAATTTTCTTTTAATTCTTAATTATCTCCCCTTACTGCAGAGCATTGACCCCTTATTTTCACAGAAATGAATTCCCTTCACCAAGGATACTTTGAAATAAGTTTATTTGAAATTGGTCTAGTAGGTTTTTGAGAAGAAATAAAAAAAGGAAATGTTAACAGACAGAGAGACAGCAGGACTAATAGAGAGACGGACATCAGGCAAAATTTGGCCAGAAAAGCCCACTTAAAAGCATTTGGTTAATATTCTTTTTCAACGAAATGCCACTACACTGAATATGTTGTTTTTTTTTCAAAATTCAAAAAAAAATCGTTTGATATATAAAGGTACATTACAGTGTTTTATTCTGCAAATCCCTCTCCCCCCTTAAAAAAAGAAAGAAACCAGGAAAAAATTTTCCTTCACAAGCCAATTGATTTAGAATTAAATAGACCCATCATTCATTACATCAATCATTTGCTCTTAAATAAAAATTTTTAGGCAATCACTTAGTGCCGATCTAAAGCACTGTTGAGTGTTATAAATCGTGTTATTGATCCCCTCAAAGCAGATTTGTTTCTGCTCTATTTGTAGAAAAAATGGCTTCATGTTACAAGTCTAGACAAACAGTGAAGTAAGTAGGCTAGCAATGTCTGAATGAATTATTTGATTTCAATGTGATAAAACAACACCTGTTAATCATAAATTTCACACTTTGTACTTTCTACAAATATACATCGACCATTGCTTTAACACTTTTTAGATACAAAAAAAACCTTAATATGTCCTGGATACAGAGTATCTAAAACATGATCCTCCATTGTGTTCATGTTTTTCTTCACCCTAAATCTGCACTTATGAAATCACTTCTGTACCATGTGTACCTACCTATGTTTTTTTTTTATTTTATATTTTTTTTATGTTCGTTTGACAAGTTTGAGTGGAAACGAATAAGAACATAAATGAATGAGACGAGTGGTATTGTATTTACAGCAAAGTTGGATATATGAACATGATGAAAGAGTGAAGGTTTCTATGGGGCCAAGTGTGGGTTATCTTCTTAAGGAAAACAAATAACACAATATTGTTGAATTGTTTATAAGATGCAAACAAAAGGAATGCAAAATAAACCATATCGTAAATATCATACCGAACATAGCGTTAGCCTCTTTAGCTTATTGTATTTATGTTACAGTAAATATGTAAAATCAGGAATTTCATGTATTTTTTGTATTTTAGGAAATACATAAAATTCCTATTTTGTTTAGGAAATACAAATATTTATTGATTTCAGTTAGGAAATACACGTATTTACTGATTTCAGTTGCATAAAGAAACTGAAAGTCTGATATTTCCTCAAAAGAATGTATTGAAATAGAACAAGCATATATCTATGATAAAACAATTATGAAGTTCAACTCACCAAGCCCTCGTGTTGTCCTGCTTAGGGTTTACTTTTTCTTTCCTAGAGCACAGTGGTCAGACGTTTAGAATCCCAACCAAAAAAGGGCGTCAATTCTCTAAGGTACGCTCATAGATTGACCTGGAAAAGTAAAACACAAAACTTTATTTTATGATCTTTAAAAAAAAGTTAAATTCTAAACCTGTCCTAAAGGTGCTATTGATCTATTTCCATCCTATTATTTAGAATAGTTTTTTTCTTTTAGTCGATGTATATACATGTACCTGTATTCTACACAGATATACCAAGGAGTACATATATTTCAGCATGAAACCGGATTTAAAAAAAAACTTCAAATAAGATTCAAATAATTAACATGATTAATAAGAGTTTTTAATTTACTGTTTATTGTCAATTTTTAAAGCTTTAAAACAAAAATTAATGATTTATAGTGCAATACTGGTGCTGAAGAAAGACTAGATATTGCAGATACTTTAACATAGACAAATTGCCCTTATCGGTTCAGTTCATGTTACTCTAGATATACTGGTCAAAAGGAAATATCGATCCAATCATCTACACATTATGAATTTCATATCTAAGTATATAACATATTTTTTCATGCATTTGTTTGTGGATATCAGTAGTTCCTTAAAGATGACATCATAAGAAAACATGTATCTATTAATAATTGAAACTTTCCATGCTACCCACTGGTTTGGGATTTTCTGAATCTAAATTTAGAAAAAGAGTTTTTTCAACCTAAAAATATCTCAATATAGTTGTGTTTTACTTTCAATGATTTTATTTTAAAATTTCTTCTAAATGTAAGAGTATAAAAATGTTCAGTGACAGTTTACTGTAATATGGATTTAAAGTGTAATGTGATCTTCATTAATTTAAGGAACAGATATACGGATATAGGTAAGTAATTTTTCCTGGTAAAAAGTTATATTTTTCTCTCACAAAATCACATTTACGAGGGCCTTTGAAAAATTACGAGGACTTGTTTTTCACAGAAAAGAATATTTGATGACATAATCGGGAAAAATGTCACACATAATATATAAGAATCTTTTCTTATGTAGTCTTCAAAATTTCATATCAAAATGTTGTAAATTGGTATCAATTTTGAGTGATTTATCAGGACATATCATTAAGTCACGGAGCAGCAAAGTCTTCGACATCAAGGGTATTATAAAAGAATATGAGTTTTCATGCATTTTTTTTCAACATTTTCCTAGGAGTTCTATACAGGCGCGGATCCAGAATTTTTTTCCCAGGGGGGGGGGGGTCCAACTCAGCCAAAAAAAATTTCCAATCCCAGAAATTTCTTGACAAGCAAAAAAAAAACAAAAAAAAAAAAACGTCACAACAACGTCAAAAACCTATTTCGTGGGGGGGGGGGTAGTGGTGACTTCTATTGCTTCAAATCTTTCACTTATCTTACCCACTTCACATGTTCACGCTTACCAGGGGGGTCCATGGTAACTGTTTTCTTGTTATAGTATATACATTTTTTAACCTGGTAAATTCCAGGGGGGGGGGGGGGTCCAGTATATTTTAGCATCCCCCCGACCCCCCCTCTAGATCCGCGCATGCTATAACAATTTGAATTATTATTTCATCTACTCAACATCCATATTTTCTTGTCAAGTTTAAAATCTATGAAACAAGTACAGCATATTCTGTTTTTATTTGAAAAGCAAAAAATGCAGGTATTTGTGCGATATTGTGTGATATTCGTAACTCAATCACGTTCTTTATATAGTCCGGATAATGTTTTGTCGAAACTCTTTCATATTGATATTGCATTGTCAACAGTTTCTACTATGAAGAGTGATGCACACTTGGTGTAGTGGTATCGATCAATACAGTGCTGGTCTCAATCAAGAAAGGAACGTAAAGATTTTGGGTAGAATGGGACAAGGTCACATTTCTTATAACTTAAGTGCTAGCACTGGTAAAAGATTATTGTAATGGTGCGGCAATGTCAAAGTTTCCAGGACAACATAGGGAATATGAGTCATATTAAAAAAGTACATTGAACGAGTTAAGGAAAAAGAAGTGTAGAACTACTTACAGTTTTGTTATTGGATTGTCAGCAATTTCTACAATTAACATTGATTGCCCACTTGGTAAAGTGTGTAATGAAAAGTTGTATCAGTTAACAATTTATATAATTGACCAAAAAAGGAAGCATTTGAAAAATCCTGTTCAGTGAGAAAAAAACAATCAATGATGCACTTGTTGATGCTTAATGCTATGGTATTTATATACCTCTAAATCGATTAAACATGATCATGATGATTCCTTGAGCGCTAACGATGAATTAAGATAATGATAAACAAAACTAGCTAAATGTGCGTTTGAAAAATAAAAAAGCAAGCCAATTAGGATTTCCTGGAGATATTGTCATTGACTTGAAGTCAAGACATATAACTTATTGAAGGGGAAAAAAGTTACGACTTAGAAAGTGTTAATTTGTTTTGTGAGCATACTTTAAAAATGTATCGTCAAGAATTGATCTTATACCGGCCATCTGTATTCTCAGTTATGATCATTGAAACACTGGGAACTTTCATAAACACCATGTTTATTTTTTTAAGTAGTGGATTATGCTTATATTAAAGGAAGATTCCACCACTGATATCTTGAACAACAATTTTAAAAATCCATTAAACTGCACATGCTTTTATTGATATGTTGGTTTTCTAAAGCTGAAATTTGCTTTTTGCTTTTTTATTCTCAGCTTATTGACATTATGAACGTTAAAAGATGTCAAGTTTGTGAAGTATTGAAAAAAGTAAAGGACTAACCTGATCTAGTGTAATATATCTCCTTTAAATCAGTTACTCGCACAGTGAGCAAATTATCCTTATGACACATGTTCGTGTAAACAATATATATATATATATCACTTGATGCGCCAGATATTTAAAAACCACCCAAACAAAGCATCATTTTCCCCCAGTATCGATTTTTTTTTCTCATGCCCCTTTGTTACTTTAGCAGCACCAAGGAACCATGCATTTTTTACTTAAACACTTTTATTCTTTACACAAATTTTGTCAGTTTAAACATTTGATTTATTTATGGAATAAAGAAAAGCCATAACTAATCAGGATGTCACCGTTAGGCTACTTAAAGCCAGAGTTACAAATTCAAGGTTCAATTCCAACGACAGTTATATTCTGTTAAAAAAAGGTTGGTACCCAAAGATAGACTGCTCCAATGTGAATACAAATGTACTTGTAAAATATAAAAGTCCTAAGTGAACCACACATTCAGAAAATATGACCACTGTTGACGCGTTTTTCCAAAAAAAAATAATACTTTAAAGTTATGGCATTGAGGTTTTATGCACCAGTCAAAGATGTTTCGGGGAAATATAGTACATGTATTTGTTGTTTCCGTCCCTCTGTCTGTCTCCCTGCCTGCTTTGTCAGCAAAAAACCTTGCCCATTACTTTTTAGTCAAGGTATGAATTTCATATTTCACATGTGTATTTCCTTCGACAAGTACGTTCTTTGGATACCAACTAATTTGACCTTTTGAGCTTGGAGTTTGACCACTTTTACACAAAAGATGAAGTTTACTATGGGCATATTTTTTGAACACTAGATACCAGGACTTTTAAACGTCATACATGTATATTTATTCTTTGTGGAAAGACCTTTTATATTTCAGCGGTTAATAAGATAAAAATATAGTAAAATTACAAACATTCATGATTTATTACACTTCACATGTCTCACAGATTCATTTTATTTTGACGTAATGCATATACATTAAGCTGAAGTCAATTTTCAATGTTATATCAATACATTATTTAGTTATAAAGTACAATTATAGAAGAAAAGAGAGTACATGTATTAACATAGACCGGGTCAAACCCCTTCCTAACTTGCCTGATTTTCAATAAATAAAAAATAAAGAGTACATGTATAATAATTACATTATGAACATAAAACAACTCAAGTTGGAACTACTTTTTGATATTGCATTTTCAACAATTTCTACTATGAAGAGTAATGCCCACTTGGTGCTTTAGGTTCCAATTCAGGAAGGAAAGTAGAGATTTTGGGTGGAATGAGACAATATAAAACAAGAACCCATTTCTTATAATAACAAAGGTGATAGTAGGTAAAAGGTCATTTCAATGGTTCGGTAACGTTTAAATTTGCAGGACTTTATCGGAAATATGAGGCATAATGAAAAAGCATATCAAACGAGTCGAATTAAGAACAAGTTTTAAGAAAAAAAGGAATGTAGTACTACTTACAAAAACAGTTATTACTACTGCCTTTTACTATACCCCTAACTTTATATAAGAATTGATAAAAGGACAGAACCTCCTCAACTCTTATTGTATGAACAGCTGTCTTAGTGGCCGTGGATGTTTGAGTCAGACGTTTCTATGAATTACATGTATGTCTCAGTACTTAAAATTTGTTTTAATTTCTTTGTGTGATCTACATGTGTATATAATTTCGCAACATTTTCTTGCAGGGTCTCCTGAGATTTATATACGTAGAAACACATTTGCACTTGATTTTTTGTTGTATTTAAAAATCTTAATATAGACTCAGTGACCTTTTTAAATGTGCTACACATTTTGATTTTGCATTGTCAAGAATTTCTACTATAAGGAGCGATTGCCTAACTTGTACTGTTGTGATGACAAAAAATTATCTTATTGAAAAGACATCAGGGATCATTAATTTAAAAAAATCCTGTTAAGTGAGAGGAAATAATCAATTATGTTGACGTTTAATGCTATGGTATTTATATACCTCTAAATCGATTGAATAGGATTTATGTTTCTCTGTTATTATGCAAGACTGAAGCCAAGTCAACTGAGCTAGTTTTTGTATGGATAAAAATTAAAATAACATCAGTAGGTAAAGTGAAAAAATGTCATTTATTGAAGTGAATGACGAAAAACAAAATATGAACATATACTAAAGGGGTCAGACAAGACTAGAAAAAAGAATACAAAAATCTTTGGTATCATATTCTAGGATTCCTTCAGTGCTAAAGATGAAATTAAACAATGATCAACACAATTAGCCGGATATGCGCTTGAAAAACAACAATCCATTTACCGGGTATGATTTCCTAGAAATATTTCCATTGACTTGAAGTCATACAAATGCATAAGAATTTACAGATATTTTCTTATAAAAGGGAAGACTAAAGTTAAGAATTAAAATAAAATTTGTTACTGTGTTTTGTTTACTTACATGTACCATATTTTAGAGAGAATGTTGCAGTTAAGAATTTACCCTTAAATTACATTGTGACATGCAGTCGTAAAATGTTCTTCATTTATTTGAAATTCCGATTCATACATGTACAAAATTCTCAAATATATGGGTCGAGCTGCCTCAGAATTTAACTTGCAAGTTAATCAGACAGACTTATTACATCAGACAGGACTTTTCGTGAGACATATGGAATAAGGGATAGTTCCTCTCTGCTGCAGAGTTGACAAAATATACAGAGAAGCTAAAATCCAATAAGCAGTTATATATGTTAGCACAGGCCACTAGTGTTCCCAATGATTATAATTGAAACACTGGGAATTTTCATAAACACAACTGTCTATTTGAAAAAAAATGAATGTTCTTATGAACATACAAAGGTGTTTTTTTAAGTAGCGGATTATGCTTTGATTATAGGACGATTCTAACGTATCGAACAATATTTTTTTTTTAAAATCCATTAAACTGCACATACTTTTAATGATATGTTGGTTTGCTAAAGCTGGAATTTGCTTTAACTTTCTTGTTCTCCGTTTATTGACAATGTTCAGAAGGTAAAAAATTGAGAAAAGTAAAGCACTAACCTGATCTAGTCTTGAGCAAATATATCTCCTTGAAATCTGTAACACTCACACAAGGAGCAAATAATCCTTTTAC